TTCATGTAAATTATTACCATCGTGGGTAACTGCTGTGCTTACAATAATTAATAATTATTGTTTAACAATTGGTACATCAATTATTACCCTTTAGAACTATTTCAAACTCGTGGTTTTAATTTTACCCAAGGGCCCAAATAACTGCATATATTTACAAAATATATTATACATATTTAATATTATACAAAATCTATAATATATTGCTAAAATAAAAATAAATTAATTTAATTATTATTATCTAATAAATCTAATAATATCGAATCAAGATATTTTCTTTTGGAGGTATATAGATTATAAATGTTGCATTGAACTTAAACCGGAAAAAATATTTTGAAAATAGTCAAATGAATATTAAAAAGAATTTTAATTATAATTAAGAATTATAATTTGTATACTTTCACGACATTCTTTTTAGTTCAAAAATGTTTATAATTTACATTGTTATTAGCTACTTATAATCATTGTTAAAACATATTAATACAATTTTGTAAACTTTTACGACAGTACGATAACAGTATTGATTTTTATAATTATTCAACTGAATAAATTAAAGTAATTGCGTGAAAGTTAATAGTTAGGTAAGTTAGGTTGTCTTAAAGTTAGATGATGTATTATATATTATTTTGTATTAAAAATTGTCCATGTCATATAGAAAAATATTAAAAGACATTAACGTATAAAAAACGTAGAAATATTTTATTTTTTTTTTTTTTTTTGAGCAAATATATTTTTAAAAGTAGATGTAACAATACAAAATAATAAATAATATCAAAGTAAAATAGTTTATTTTTAAATTTTAACAAAAATATGAAATATTAATTTGACCACTTAGTTAATTTGATTTAATAATTGAAGTAAAAAATATAAAAAATAATAATAATAATACTAATAATAAACTGTAATAGTAATAAAACTGGATATTAAATATATTATTTATTAGATTCGTGTTTTCGTATCATGTTTCAAGACTACGCTATACGATGGCAATACATTAATATCCGGATATATAGCCACGGGTAGATGAGCTGTAGAATATTCTTCCGCTCCATAAAGTTATACCATTATTTTCTTACATAGAATTAAAGTAACGAAACCTTTATTCAATTTAAACTGAAATATTTCATAAGTCAAATTACGAGTACTTGAACTTGTTGGTCGACAAAATAAATGTAAGTTGAATTATTTTTTTGGCTTTATTTTTATTTACTTTTCTTTGGTAAAATTACGATGTGAAGGACGTTACATTATTTCTATACTTTAAAGTATAGATCTAGTATAGCTCATGGATCGTCCATGCGAGTAAGCGCTTCGTACGCCTTCAATGACATATGTTAACCGTCAGGGCATATAGATAGAAACTATATAACACTTTAGGTATAAAATTAAAATATCATTCGTATACAATTCGTATACATTATATTCAATAATACTTTACTTAATAAAATAACCGATTTTTTATCACATACTATTGTATTTTAATTTTAGATAAGAAGCAGAACGATGAATTTATTGATTTAACAATGAAATGTCTTTTTCGCAGCTAACAAATTGGATCCCAGGATCTTTTTTCATACAAATTGCATCCTGATAAAATGTATATAACTCCACTAATTGCATTCAATTTCGATATTGATAAGTTATTTGATAATTCCTCGAGAATTAATTTTGATAGCTTATCATATAGATCATCTATTGCCTTGCGTTTCATATTATTACTTAATTTTTGTCCGTTTGATCTTTTAATCGAACAACTTGCATGCTTATGCTCACTAGCACACTTAATATTTTATTTTTACAATATACCTTAATTGATGACTTGCATGTTTTTATGAAAAACATCCAACATTGCATATCATTTATTAAAAACATTTGAAAACAGAATAACGCATGATGGTTAATGACACATAATCGAAACATAACTAACCTCTGTATACATTTATTTCATAAGTTTTAAAGTATTATTCAATAGATAATAATTATAATTCTCATACTAATAACTGATATATATATATTCATATAGCAATAGATAATTGAATTTTAAAGACAAACTTGTAAATTTAATACAAGGCTCCTATAAATTATTTCAACGACACTTAAACATTTTTGAAAATACATAATCAACATTTTTTTATAAAGTTTGAAATTCAAATTTTTTAAAAATGATAACAAAAAATTGAAAATTATTTTGTATTGTTTTAAGTTTATTACATTTTTTATTTAAAATCTATCTCTGTTCAAAATTGTTTTTTTGTATGCAATGATTTATCATTGATTTACAATTTAATACATTCATTATAATTACCTGATTACTTAATGACTATACCTACTGAATTATAAAGTGCTTATCTACTTGTTTAATGTCAGGTATTTATTATTAATGTTTTAGAATTTTAAAGTTATATAAAAAAATTAATTATTCAACAAAGACGAAAATTTATTTTAAATAGATAATTATAACAAGTTAGTTTAATCGTAGTAAATTACTTCATAAATATAAATTGATTATATTTTCTATGTAGTTAAAAAAAAAAAAAATCTGGAGTTTTTAAACACATATTTTTACTTTAAATATTTTTTTGGAGGATTATAATTTAAACACACAATTCACCTATACGAATCTAATGCTTTTTGTTTACATAAAAAAAACACTTAATCCTGATGGCTTATCCCACTAGATTTAAAACCAAAAAAAGAGAGTTAAAAAAGTAGTATAACGGGTTACACGCATTAACTGAAATGTGTGTGATATTTTTGAGATTTTCGTTAAATAAGTATAAGTAATAAGTATGTATATAAATTGATAAATTTTTAAAATTAATTTTAACGTATTTTATAAAAATGTTTGTATATAAATTAATAATGAGATTTTATTAGAATATTTTGTATTCTATACTGCAAAAATTCTATTTTAATTTATAATCCAAACAAAATATAATAATTACATTATTTTATTATTCAGTTAACTTTACTATATGCATGTTACGTCAACTGAGTATATTGAAGTTAGGAACATCATAAATTTATAACGTCTATCGTCGTATATTTTTAGTTAAAATTTAAGTTTTAAAAAGATGTGTTAAATTTCAAACAACCATAATTTATAATTGTTTGCTAAAAAAAACTACGACAGAGAGTCTTAAGTATATTATGCATCGCTATATGTAATACTTTTAAACTTTTCATTTTTATTTTTTTTTTATTTCAAATATTCATGGCTTTTGCTTCGCATATATTACCAGATAAAAAATATATAAAAATGAATTTCTTTATTTATGGTTCAACGTTGATTATATTTTAAGTAATAATAAAGTTCTTATTTTTATCGATTTGGTGAGCTTTCAAAACATAATATATAAACTCTAGAATAAAAAAGAAAACATGAATAATGAAGGGTATTAAATACATAGCTGTGTATTTATTATTTGTTATACGTTAAAAAATATATACTAGATAGAATATAATATTATTTAAAGTTATTTATAAGTACTTCAACAAATACAATAGGTACTTATATTTATTTGTTGATAAGTTTATCAAAAATTATACTTTTACTTATTTTTCATCTTATTTTAAATTTCAAAATATTTTATAAGATTATTGTCATTTAAAAAAAGTATCTATTTATAGAATAGTACCAATTATTTTAAATTGGATTTATTTATTAAATGATTCAACTGATTCAATTGATATTAGCATATTTAATATAAATTATTATAAAATAAAATAAACCACACCAATGTATCAATATTATATCTTTAGAAAATTGTATGTATCTGTTTAAATTTGTATGATTTCCTAATATTTTAATTTTGCAATTGAATTACAGTTATCACATGAAATTAACTTAAATTATTTTTTTTTTAATGTGTATTTATATGATAACACGAAATTTAAATCATTATATTATTGTAAACAATGTTTTAAATAAAATATTATACTGAAACATAGGTATAATTATATCGATTGAATAAATTATAACGTATGTTTATATTTAAATTCATCATTTATCCGTTCCATAAGATTGAGGACAAAATAATTAGGTTTATAATTATAGGTATACGTTTTCATTCAACTTCTATTGTATAAGAAGTAAAAATATAACAATTGGCTTGGGAAAATATTCATCTGAAATAAATTATTTTTACTTGTAAACTTTATAATTGTATAAAATCTGAACCAGAATATAATATTATTTTTATTTTATTTGAATATTAACAATAATTATTCACTTACTTAAATTATATGAATAATATTTTATTTTAATTATATTATTCTTTAAATTTTATTTTAGATTCATAGTTCAGTATTTTAATGGTTAACTCTTGTTTTGCATACTTCTTTACGAATTTTGAACTCTTTTGAATATTTTTAAGTATGCAAAATTAAGCTTGGCAAAGTTTTTTTTTTTTAATCTGATTTATAATTCTTTCAAATATGATGACACCTACACCAGTAGCTTGTGTTTGGCTCCTGAATTTCATAATTTTATTTTACGAAATTTAATAATTTAAATGTGTTTTTCCTCTTAACAAAAAAGTGTTTGTTTGTTTTTATTTTAAATTTTGATGACTATACTTCAACAGCATTCTATCTAAATTATTTAAATTTATAATTAAAAACATTAATTAATAAGATTTACTTTTTACATAGATAGTGATTTTTTTTTCAGAAAATAAGTACAAAATAAGGATTTTCAGCAACTTAAAAATTATTTTTTATTAGAACTATATATATATTTGATACAAAAATAATGTAAATTGCTATTTATAATACAATATTATATCAATGACTTGATCAAATTTCTCCTTTGATGATTATTGTTACAATACTTACGTATATATTCTAAAAAAAAAAAATACGTGTTAGTTTCTATAACTAACTAATTGTATTCTCAAATAGCTAACCATAAATAATTTAATAATGTAATATACGTATTAATATATACTTATTATTTATGTGAGATTTACTGTATAGAATATTAATTTTTTTTTTTTTTTCAGGACGTTGTGGCCACGATAGTCCATGTCAACAACTATGCTACGAGCTTCACGACGGCATGTTCGAATGCGATTGTAAAACAGGATTTTCATTACATGAAGATGGTTATACTTGCACAAGTATGCTTAATTAGTCTAATATACAATAAATAGCTTAATCATGGTAATTAATATTATTTCATGATCTGATTTATAACATTTTTCTTGTACAATTATTCATAGGTAATACTATAGATTATGCAGTATCTACCTAGTTTCATATAAAATGTATCACCGTATTTTTCATCTTACGAATACCTACAATCTACATACATGCTTTCCTGATATATATCACATAGGTATTATTCTCTCAATCAGCCGTCTAACTATACTTTAAAACTTACTCAACTATTTGAGTACATAATTTAAGTAATTAACTCATTATTTAAAATATTTAAATAAACTAGTTATTTTAAATACCAACATAACTTTAATATGTTGACTTTTAAAGATTTTTAAAAGATAAAAATATTTTAATAACACTAATAACTACAGTTAACTATAATTATTAATTAATAACGCGGTTTTCATTTACCTACAGCAATATTATTAGAAAAAAATTATTAATAATTAGAATTATTTTTAATACTGACTTATTACTAAAATAAGTTAATTTTATAGACCAAACTTAAAAAAATACTCTGTTTTCACTCTTCAAATAAATGATTCTCTTTATGATACATATTTCATAATTAGATAATTTTTTACTTACAAAAGGGTAATTCAATAGGTACTATTAGATGATATATTTTGTAATGTAACATAATTTAAAGTTATATTTATTGTAAATTTCTATAACATCAAAATAAAGGTGAAATTTTGTGCAATATTTCATCAAAAATTATATTGTCCATATTCGTGAGCTTAGAGTTTTATTTTACGAGGAGCCCTGTGAAAAAAAATCTCTCGTTATTAATGTTTAACGTCTGTAAAAAAAAAAGTATTTCTGGACACAAAAACATGGGACTCTGAAAAAAAATCGTTATCTACCTTAGCAACAACGAAATACTTTCTTAAAAAAAAAAAAAAACAATTGTCGTCGAAACAAAAATGTTTTCTGAGGAAAAATTATTTCAACACTTTCCATACAACATGCTTTATTTACTGTCAATCAAATATAATATAATTATTGAATTTATAATATTACTTAACTAAATCATTATTTTACTAAAAACAAGGTTCAAATATTAAACCAATGTATATTCATTTTAACTATGATAAGTATATTTTCGTTATTTTTATTTTCTTAGATTAAAAATATAATATTTATTTTTTATTATAATTTAAATGTTAATATTAGTTATTTTATAATGAATTGTATCAATTTCTCTTTCAAAATTCACTAATCCTATCATTCAACAGTCGGATTTGAATGTTTATTATTTTATGGTACTCATATTTTATAAGAATAAAATGAATTTAAATTTTCTTCCTTGGTGAATATTTTATTATAAATTCCTTTAATTCTATATTTTAAATTTACAAATTATCAATAAAACAGTGATTAATAATCTCTTTGTCAAATATCTCTCTCTTCCTATAAATACATTCTAATATAATCTAAAAAAAGAAATAAGTACCTAAATTTATTGCTTTTAATGATTTTATGTAAAAATGTAAATTCAAAAGATTGTAAAGTATTAAATTACTTAAAATGCGAATATTATTCAAATTAGGCATTGTTCAGTATTTTATCTTTTGTCTCATATTTAAAAATGAACTAAAAATGATTTTATTTTCAAATTAATTAAAAATTATAAAGAAATAAAATGAAAAACTAAACTAAACTTTACATTTTAGCTATTGAATACCAAACGAGTTTAATAATTTACACAACAAATGTTATTATATATATATAATACTAACAATTATAAAATGCTTATATACTGAAATATTGACTTGATTGTTGTAAGGGCATTAAAGTAAGTTAAATAAGTAAGTTTAAAATCATAAAAAAAGTACTGTAGTTTAATAATAAGTAATTTAAATTTAAAATAGCTTGCATTATAACCTTGCAATTGCTTGATAAGCTAGTGATTATTTTTTAAGACTGGTAATTTGACCATCACTGATACTTTTAAAATAAGTATAAAAAATAAAATAAAAGACAGATATTTGACATTTGATACCTCTAATTAAAACTATGTTATTTTCAAAAATAATATACAAAGAAGAAAAAATATTAATAACTATTAAACAAAGTAAGGAGTCAAAATATATTATAAACATAAAAATTAAAATTAAATTTTTTCTATTTAAGATCCATTTAAAACAAAAATTTTGGTTAGGATAAATGTATTTAAAAATTTTAAAATATCGTTTTCAAGAATTTAATTCTCAACAAAATAAAATTAACCTAGTATGTACAAAAAACATTGTCTTGTTTTAAATTTTTAATAAATTACAAAATAACATCTAACTTAATATATAATATTTATATTGATTTAAACTTATGTTTCTTATTTTTAAAATTACAGTACGTTCATTTATTTAACAATAATAACATTAATAAAACAATTCGTTATATTCATTTAAATTTCTTAGTGAATTACCTACATAACAATAAAGTTTATTGCATATAATAATAAATAAATTAGCATATTCCACACGTTTATAACGTTATTTTGTTATTTTAATATAGATAATCATAATAATTTATTGCATTAATTGTTCAATAAAAAATTAGAATAATTATTAATAATAGAGTAGAAACCCTAAAAAAATATGTATTTATCTATATATTTTTTAAGAGTACAATAATTTAATATGTTTTACAGCATAAACCTGTAGGTAATATTTTACAATAATGAGGGTATCTATAAATATACCAATTCAATTAAATCGGCACTGCAAAGTGCAAACCAATTTACTAATCGACCGTGGTATTAAATTGCGGCAGTAGATAAATTGGCGTTTTCAATGGATGACAATAACCACGACTAACGTTACTTATATATTAATATGAGTAGAGGAACCCTAAATAGAATGGAGAAGCGAGACACAACGGGTTCCAACTTTTTTTTCATACACGACGTTGTGAATCCCTTAGTATCGTCGGAAATAATGATTTTTCTTCACATATTCATAAGGAATGTTATCACAAACAAAACACATATTATATTTTTTCATTGATTGACTGTTTATTGTTTTATGTCAATTGTTTATGATTTTTGAAATTATTTACTGTAGGTAAGTGAAATTTATTATTTTACGATAACCTGAGTATTATTTTTAATAAATACAATGCACTTAAGTTAAGTTGTTATTTATGTTTAATATAAAATAATCGTATTGTTATGATAAAAACTTAGTTTTGATATAAATACTATTTTTGGACGCAACGGAATAGGAAGTATGGATTATTACAAAGACGTACTTCATCCCATCTTTCTTTTGTTAACGTTTTTAAATTATATAAAGTGATTGCTCATTTATATATACTTACGTAAATAACTATTTAAATTCTTGAATAAAATTTGTCTTTTTTTAGTAAAACGGTACATCATTACGTTCGTAAAATTTAGTGACAAATATAGTCTACTGAATGTATCACTAAAGCCAATTCTGTTATTTTAAAAAAAAAAAAAAACTGGTTACAAAAAATCTGCTTAGCAATTTCCCTTAGCAGTTCCCCACGCAACATTAAAGCGGTTTGCAAATAAAAAAAAATACTGACTTTGTGATTGATAAAACAAACAGAAACTTTAAATGTATTTTTAATGAACAGCAAGTATTAAAGTTAGTGGGTTATTTGAAGTCAATGAAAAAAATACTTAGATTTAATTATGTCAAATATTCATAAATTGGTTTTCCAATTTGTCAAATTAAATGTTTGCTCTCACCGTTTTAATAAGACTGATGTAATGACTAGTTAGAACTATATGAATGGTCATTTATTAAAACACCCAGATTTGAACTTAAGAAAATCTGAAGCTTTTAATATGGGTTTTAATAAAGTATGTAATACTCAATTCTTCAATTTATTAAGTGGATGCATTAATTAATATAAACTGAATACAAAAAGAATATAAAATTGCGATGAGGCTAGTATAACAGTAAATCTAAAAGGACAGTCAAAACTCAAAAGTGTTAGCTACTAAAAAGAGAAGACAGGTTGACATTTTAATATTTTCTGAACGCAAAGAAAAGATTACTATAATAATATGCTTTTCGGCAAGTAATACATATATAATCTCTCTAATATTAATTTTACCTAGAAAAAAAAATCAACCAAATGTTTATACTGGATTGCCTCTTGGATCGTGAATTGAATGTTATGACAAGATAGATTATTCCGAGCTGTTTTTAAAATGGTTCATGAAATTAATTTAATTTTCGAGGGAAAAAAAGAAGATCCAGTTCTATCAATTTTTGATAAAAAATTGAGCTGTTTAACTATGCTTTCTATTTCATTGTTCACATAAAACACAACTTTATAACGTATCTTTCATGAAACTATTATCCAAATACTATAAAGTTTAAGTTAGAAAATGACTATGTTGTAATCCAGGCAATTTTGTTACTTTAGGAAATAAATTCATCATTATTTAATGCATTTCATACATACTGCAAATATTAAAATTACAATGAAAGGTCTTGAAACAATAGAAGTATGGCCTTCGAATAATAAAGTTTTTAACGGCGATAATTTTTTTGCCATCAATTATAACTGACATTGTACCGAATACTTCGTCACCTGAAAAAGATATCGGAATAAATGAAAAACTAGCTGTTCACATGTAAACGCAGAAATGATAAAAGCACAAGCTACAGTTTTTTTTATAATGAGCCACAATGTTCTTAGGTCAATATGCTTCATAATGAACCACATACATTTCCAATTAAATCATCTACGGAATCGCTCTATAAGAATAACTTGTAAATGTTTTTGGAAATACCACAAAAAAAATAAAGAAGTAAAAAAAAAAGAAAATTAAACAATAAAAACAAAATGACAAATAGACAACTAGGTATTTAATACCGTTCCAAAAAATAAAATAAAAGTTTACAATCATAAAAAAAATTGAGAAAAGAGTTGGCGTTCAGTGGATATGATCCGGATAATGCACTGTAGAAAATTTTACTAAAAGTCACTAAAAGATGAATTGGTTGTTTGAAATATAGAAAGTGGGCACACAATTCTTGTGCAAGAGTTAAGAACGATTATGAAGGGCAATACATGTAAATATTGTTCAAAAATAAATAATTCTGTTTCAAAATAATAATATGTTTAAAAGTTAATATGCATATAAATATTCCATTCTACCCCATTTTTGGGGTAAAATGAGACAAATTATTTATTTATTTTTTTAAATAATATATTAAAATATATTTGAGTTATTTATTTGATCATTGAAGTTAATTGATATTTGTATTTTTAAGAATTTATTTATCGAGGATTGAAAGAGGATTAAGTAGAATACTATACAATTAATTTTGAACATTAAATTTACTATTCTGCCCTTTTCCCCCCTTTTTTTTCCTTTTACAAAACATTCAGTATAATTCATATACCTACTATTTTAGATCCCGACCACTTTTAGTCATATACATTTATATATATATAACAGATTAAATATTCAAATTGTAATTTTTAGAATTTTTAAATATACTTAAAGATCATATTTTTAATTTTTTAGATTTTTTGTACTATTTAAAGACTGTACAGTGGTGATACAAATTTCTGTTTTAAAATTAGTGTCCCTTCCAACTTTTTACTGTAAATTGTTTAGCAGAAATACTTTTGTTTCTAATTCAAAATTTGAACGAGTAGCTTTTTAGTTATTAAAATAAATAACAAAGAATAAAATTCCTTAAAAATGGTTATAAAACATATAAATAGATGGTTCTAGTATTAATTATATTTCAAACATTTTTAAAAATAATAAATATTGATAGATTAATATAAATTACTTTAATTTTCAATCTATTTTAGTTTATTACCTTTCATATATTCACCTATTTATATTATTATTATTTCTTAGTACAAAAATTAATTATCTATTCAGGTTTTAATTTTAATATGTCAAAATGTTCGAAAAGATTATGTGTTTAACAAAGTTAAAAGGGGGGGGGGGTTGATATATCAATATTTAAAAAACAGAAAGATTTTATTTCCACGGAACACTTCTTAAATAATACAAAAAAAAAACCTTAAGAATTTTAAAGTATGGTCTATAAAAATGTTTAAAAATTCAAATATCTTATTTTAAATACCTGTGTTATTGAAAATGAAAAAAGGTACATGCTTGGTGAATCGCTCTATTATACATGTTTTATATAAATTATTGTCATATACCTATTATTATATTTATATGTATTTCATAGGAAATGATTCGGTAACGGATAAGATCAAAGAGTTCGAAAGAGATATTGGACTGACCTTTATCGATTCCAACGAAGTAGACTCCGAAGACAGCGTACGGTTTGTAAAGCACGTCGAACCTCAGAATTCTATTGTCACAGGCTCACCAGCTTTATGCGTTAGAAAGTGCGGCGAAGGCACATGCGTGTTCGATAGTCGAAATAAGCAAACTTGCCGATGTCCGTTTGGTAAAACTGGATCCAGCTGTCAGATCAGTAAGTATTAAAAAATTTAAAAAAATAATTATCATATATTTAAAAAGGTATGTTAGTGAGTATCACTCTTCTGTGCATTGTATATTCGGTGTCAAGAAGAACTATAATGGATGTTGTTAAATTTGAATTCAATGATGACTCAATACATAAGATGAAAGATTATTTTGATAGAAGACTGTCTAAAATTTCATAACCGTGGTTATGAAAATTATTATTTTGAAAAATATTTGAAGTTTTTAATTTTAACTTTTTTAAAAGTACAAAATAGACTAAATTGTCTATTAAAAACCACTCTTAAAGTAAAAATTTAAGCATTTTATCGACTACTTATCATGTACACAAATACAAAAAGACACATAAAATATGTAAAATCAATACACTCATTGCTCCGCTCAGAATTTAAAATTAAAAATATAGTTATTCGAGTCTTATCATAAAATAGATGTTGATTTTTTAACATAAATACGTTCATACGCTGAAGTTTAGTAGCCCACCTAAGTCACGAACATAACAGAAAATTGAAAAAAGCAAACATCAAAAATGTGAAAATAAAATAGCTAAAAATATATCTGTTAAAACTTATAATAATGAATTTCAAACAGTTAACATACTATGCTCTTTATACACAATATTCAGCTTGAAAACATAACGATAAAATATTTATTGATTTATACTAACATTAATTCAATTATATTTTACATAACTTATTAATTCATAAATTTCAATATTTTTAACATGTGGTTAATTTTTTTTGAAAAATAAAATATTTTTGTCAACAATTAAAACAAAAATCACTGAATATTACTTGTAATGTAGAATGTAAATAATATTTTAAACATTTATAAGATAGGTACATATTTCCAGCGTTGGATTGTACTTATGTAATTTTAAGTTTTCGGTAGTCTTATTTCAGTTTTCAAAAAGTTGTACAAAATATTTTATCTGTTCTATATTTCACTTGATTGAATCTCCGTTAAATAAACGTACTAATTAATACATATCATATCGTTGGCATTTTAATTAATATTTTTATATATTATATATTTAAATGTATAATAAAATATTTAAGCTGTTCTGAGTACTCACTATTTTATGCTAATATGTCATACTATCGTTATTTTGGCTTCGTAGTTTTGACGTGTTGCCATTCCACAATAGCTAATTAATTTATACTTGAATTTTGCAATCACGAATCGTACTTATCTATTGCATTCAAAAAAAATATTACAAATGAAGCCAATTGTCGAAACCGTGGTCATATACACTTCTTTATATACCCACTTGTAAATAGTGTTTTATAGTTTTCCGAGATATTCCGCACAATTATTTTATAAGTTTTATGAAAATAAGTTGAAATCATTTACAATACTATGATGAATATTTTCGTGATAATGAATCAAACTTTTAGGTTAACTAAATTAAAATTAAAAATATAACTCATTTTCACAGTAATTCATTATACAGGTTTGGAATGTAAACATACAGACATAAATTATTATGTCACATAATAGATCAATATTTATTTAAATTTGCATAAAACATTATTATTAAAAATTACTGAAAATATAAAATACTTAATATAAAATATAAAATACTTAATATTCTATTTAAAAATATCCAAAAATAGATAAAGTTCAAAACGTGTACAATATCATAGTGTTATGCCTAAATTTCTATAATTTTTTTTTTTTTTTTTTTTTATTATTTCTGTGAAACCATTAATATAAATATATATTCAATAATCAATATAATGGCAGATAATAAAATTTTGCATTCAATTCTTTATAACATTTTCTTTACTCAAATAAATTCACAAATAGCTGACTATAAAATTAATTTAATTAAAAAACTTTTACTTTACCATTCTTGATGCAAAATAACTATACATTTTTTTTATATGAAATATAATTTTTAAAATTTTTGTACGTTTTGCTGTTTTACTATCAAAATTTTTTGAAATGTAATATATTAGTAAATTAGTTTACTTAATTTCTACAATAGTATCATATTACATGAAAAATTACCACATTACTAATGAAAGTACATACACCGAAACATGATATATCACAGATATTTTAAAATATTGTTAATACATTTTTTAAGCTGTATTTTCAATTACAAAGCCTTAACACGTATCAAACTAATGATAAGAAGTCTAAATTTATTTTTTTATTGATTCTCAAAAAATATATGTAATGACCTACTTCATTATAATTATATTTTTTAAATAATATCCCAGAATCAAATATGATAAATATATATATATAATATGTACATTTTTATTTTAGTATAATAACATTGTACAACTTATAATTAATAAACATTAAATGAGAATTTGATACTTCACATTATTCAAACTATATTATCCTTACTATACTTATTTATTATTATTCGTATAATTAAAATAGGATGACTTTCGTAAATTTGAATACTTTAAAAACGTGATTATAAATATATAAATTAATTATTAAGTGTTATAATATGACTGAAAATATTTTAAAAACGTATTTTCAAAGAAAATTTATATTTTAAATTAAAAAAACAATGATTTTAAAAAATGTCTTTTTTTAAAAGATACACCATATTTATTAGTTGAATTATACATTTCGTATTCGTATTGTATTACACATTCAGTACAATTAAATAATTTATCATTGATTTTCGTGATAGTTTTTTTTATCTTTAACTATATTTTATAAGCTTTTTTGTGATTTTTTTTTTTTTTTGTAAAATTGTTATATCATTAAAAGTATAAAATAAAATAAATGATTTTAGATGAATTAATTGTTATATTATTATTTTTGTTGTAAACTAAATTTTTAAATCGAATATAGTTAATTATAAATTAATTAATCATTAGTGAAAATATAATGTTATAGTATGCTATGAATTAATCATATTTTGTTACTAAATTTTGCCACCGTTAAATAAATCTATAATTAAAGCATAATTTTAATTCTACAAAACTTATTTAACATTAGAGTGATAAAGTTATTTTTATTATGTACATATAATATATTTATTATTCTTTAATAATACAATTAATAACAAAATATCTTTATTTCAATAAAAATCTTATCTTTATTTATGTTTATATTATATACCTACTTAAATTTAAAAAAAAAATTTTATCGTATATACAGCAATTATTTTAGTAATGAAATATTAATATTATAATAAATTTAATGTTATTGGGAAATAATAGATCAATCACCATACTGATAGTAAAATAAATAACTTTAAAATCTGTATAAAAATACATATCATGATAATATACACTTAGTGGAATGGGTTGATAAACTCTCTTCACTCATAACCAGTTTTTGTATACAATGATATATCATTATATCATCATACCTTCTCAAAAGCACTTTGACAATTTTCTTTGAAAAAAATACCTACAAAAATATTTTACTATTTAATCATATTTATAATAATAACACAATAAAGAGTGAATGCATCGAAAAAAGTTTCTAAGCTGATGTACTTGTCACAAATTATATCAAGTTTTGACTGAACACGAGAGCTTTCTGATGACACTTTACTGTTATTATTAGGATAACATTAAAAATTAACTTTTCTAAGCTCTTAAACTAACATCCTACGTCTTAGCAATTTCTACTTAAAAGTTATGTTATATAAAACTGTTGATGAAAAATTTAACTGCCATAAAAGTTTTGATTAGAAGGAAAAAAATATGAAACCAATTTCTTCCTTGCTTCCTTCAAAATAAAATCGATACTATTTGAGTATGAAATTATGAAAACATAAACTATAAACTATGACTATCAATACAATAAATAGTGTATCTTTCTCGAACAGTAGTAGCATTCGCATTCATAGATTTTAAGTCTATTACGTGTCAACTGATATATAAATATGTGGTATGATAGAGTATAGTAGTTTATAATATAGTATATGTATATGTTAATATACTATATATGTACCTTTTCATTTCAATTCATATCTATTGCAGCACACATTTTCATGTATACACTCGCATTTTACAAAAGTTATATTTTATTATTTTGTTGATAATATAATAGTTTTTCTTTCTCTTTACAACCATAATTTTTCTTATGTGCATTCAAGTATATGTTCTGAATAGTCAAATATGACTTAAAATACATAAATGTTCGTATAACAAATAATAATATACTTATTAATTATTATTTTATTATTATAACATAACATACGATATATTATAAATATATAAAATTATGACTAAATAGTTGGAATGTTTTTTCTTTTTTTTTTTCTTTTTTATATATCAGTCGTTTTCAATCTAGACCAATTTATAAATCTGATTATTATACGACAAAATAATTACTATTAAATATTTATGTTTTCATCAGCTTTTTAGTATCATATGTCATTTTTTTCTAAATATTATACATTATAGGCCATTTTTCTTAAATTTTTAACTTAAAAATGCAATTTTAAAAACATTTTCTTTATAATTTAGTTTACATGATATACATGTGTTCGTTAATGAGTGTGCTCTATATATTTTTATAATCATAAATAAAAGATAATATCGGAAATAACTATAAGTATATAGATCTTATTTTTGGTGTCATAACTTCTTCAAACGCACAAATACGAAATAAAAAATATTTGTTATTTATATTATATAAAAATACATAATATATTAAATAAATAATAATGAATATAATTTATTATGATGCCTTATTTAATTGTTTAAAAAGAATACTTAAATATAAGTATGTGTTTTTTAAGTTTTTTAAAGTTATTAACATTCTAATCTTTATTGGAGCATAACATAATATTTAAAATTAAAATTATAGTGATTTTTTTTTATAACGAACTGATTTAAAATTATTGCTTTTAGATAATTGATCGTATAATTTATATATTTCAAAGTTTATTACTGCTTTAATCTTTTTTATCAACATAATTTTAATTTGTGAATATATAAGGGAAATCATAATAAAAATTTTATTTCTAATAAAAAGTTATATGAACTTGATTCAACAATA